CTGCTGCAGGGCCTTTTCCTTTGGGTGCCGGAGAATTGTCCCCCACCTCAGCAGTCTATTTGCAGTATAACCGGGTAATCCTTTTTAGACCGGAAAATACTAAGTAGCGGTTTATGGTCCGTTTGTAGTGTGACAAATCTTCCGTGTATGTAACGGTGAAATTTCGTCACTGCGTAAATGATCGCTAATGCCTCTTTCTCTATTTGGGAATAGTTTTTTTTCCGCTGGTAGCAGGGTCCTTGATGCATGAGCGATGGGCTTTTGCGTTCCATCTGGCATTTTATGAAGGATACACGCTCCTATTCCATGCGAGCTTGCGTCGCTAGCAACTACGATCTCGAGGTTCTGGTCGTAGTGCGTTAGGAATAAATCCGATGTTAGGATTTTGATAGTTTTCTCGAATGCCTCCTGGCATTCGGGTGTCCATTCCCAAACCTTATCTTTCCTTAAAAGCTCGTTCAACGGGGCACGGAGGTTATGCATGTTTGGGATAAACACTTGATAGTAGTTCGCTAAACCCCCAAAACTCTGTAGCTCTGTGACGTTTTCAGGAGCCGACATGTCCTTAATTGCAATGGCCCTTTCTGGATCCGGTCTCCTACGTCTTTGTCTGTCATGTGACCCAAATATTTAATTTCTTTCATGAAGAAGTCACATTTGCTTTCCTTTATTTTGAAGCCATAGTCTTGTATTCGTGAAAATACTTTGTGGATGTGTTCCCGGTGTTGTTCCAAGCTTTTACTGTTTATTAGTATGTCGTCTAGGTAAGCAGTTGAAAAATCAAGTCCACCCAGTATGGTGTCCATAACCTGCTGAAAAATGGCTGGTGCGACTTTGACTCCAAATGCAAGCCTTTCAAACTTGTAGAAACCTCTATGTGTATTTATCCATAGTAATTTTGAGCTTTCTTCCTCAACGGGTATCTGGAGATAACCTTCGCTGAGATCGATTTCGAAAAGAACTTGCCTCCATTAAGTTTCGTAAAAACTTCTGGGCTTGGAAGTGGGTAGTGATAATCTTCTCGTGCTGCATTTAGTCCAGTAGAAAAATCTGCGCACACGCGGATTTCCTTAGACTTCTTCTTCACATACACTACTGGTGCTGCCCACTGGCTACATTCCACTTTAGATAAAATGCCAGTCTCTACAAGTCTGTCTAATTTCTTGTCTATTTCCTCTAACGAGGCAAAAGGTACATTCCTTTTTTTCTTAAATATTGGTTGAGTGTTCTCTTTTAACTCAAATTTTGCTGACATCTTTTTGCATCTATCAAGGCCATCCGAAAAGACCTCGGGAAGCTTTCTTTTAATTCATTTCTTAGTTTATCTGACTCGGTTGTCAGATTTTCTATTTTCTGACAAAAAGTATTAATTGGTAAATCCCACAGTTTGAACTCCTGCATCCAATCTGTGCCAAATATATTGTCTGTGTTTTTTTAACACGAACATTTGTAATTTTTTGGTTGTTCCGTTCAAAGTAACGTTCGGGATAATTTCACCTTCAAACTTAATTTTTTTGCCGGTCACCGACCTAGCTATTTTGTCAGTTTTTAGCATGGTTGGTTTATTTAATGTTTTCCAAGTATGTAGGTTGATTATTGATAAATCAGACCCGGAGTCTAATTGTAAACTGACTTTTTTTATTCAGTATTTCTACCTGCACATACTTTCTTATATTTTTGACGTTCAGTTCGTCTGTTTTTGTGCTTCTAATCCGGCTTTTTTTCCTCTTTTATTGGTTCTGCAATGTGAACTCTTGTGCCCAATTTTATTACAAGTTAGACAGGTTTTAAACCGATATTAGCAATTTTTAAACCAATGAAGTGCTCCACAACGGTAACATGAACTAGGCGGTAAATTTTTCGGTTTTTGATTGAGTTGACTTTTTTTTCTTAGGAGAGTGAAAATATTTTTTTTTGGTTTGACTTGTTTTTGAAGGGGAGAAAAAATGTGGTTTTCAATGTATTTTTCTTATGTGTGCAACGCCTGACTCTTCAATGTCTCTAGAATCATTTTTTACACTTATATATTTTTGGCAGGCTTCGGCTATGTTTTGTAAGGTTAAATTTGGTTCGCCCTTTAACCTGGTTAGGACTCTCCTTCTAATTTCTGCATCTTTCGACGATACAGGAATATTTAATATTTTTTTAATTGTCTGCGGTAAGTTCGGCTAATTTAAAATTGTCACAATGTTTGTTAACTACCGATGCGAACGTCGAGTAGTCTTCGCTGTCTTTCTTGGTTAGGTTTAAGCATTTCCACCTTTTGTGAAATAACGACACTTTTGGGCTGAATAATTCTGTAAGAAGATTTACAGCTTCAATGAAAGTTAAATCACTAGTTTTTCTAGGTAATATGTAGTCCACGAATTTGCTATGTTCAGTAGTCCCTAATTTCCGGAGCAGTAGGCGTAGCTTTTTAGCGCCTGTCCATTTTTTACAATCTATTTCGAATAGATCCTCATACCTTCTGAAATATGAAGCGAAGGTTTTATATTCGTCTGGCGAATAAGTGAAATTGTCAATTGCACTCCAAATCGCGTTTTTGTGAAAAAGTAGTTTCGCTCTCGGTATTTTGACCCTTATTCGACCCTGTTTGTAGAAGCAATTCTTCAAACCTTTTCTGTTGTTCTATCATTTATCGCTGTAATTTTAATTGCTCTTCTTCATGTTTTCGCTATTGTTCTTCGTATTTTTGCTATAATTCTAATTGTTTTTCGTTATTTCTTCGTTGTTCTAATTGTTTTTCATCGTTTCTTCTTTGTTGTTCTTCGTGTTTTTGCTGTAATTTTAATTGTTTTTCTTCGTTTCTTCGCTGTTGTTCAAACTGGAGTCTAACCAGTTCTAACATAGTAGCTTTAAACTCTTCCATGTTTTACTTTTCAATATTACGCTTCTACGTTATTTTACTTCTACCAAGCCTTTGTATTGCTTGGCGGATAGAAGAAGAAGAAAAAAAAACAAATCACTTTTTTCTCACTTTAAATGTGTTATTCACGAACACAGTAGATTTTTGGACAACTGCGAAACGTAAAGTTTATACTTCGACGCTGGAAACAAAATATTTTCCTTTCTTGTTAAGACAATGCCAGAACAAGGAACATTAACTTTTTCTCTGCGAGAAAAAAAGAAATCACTTTTGGTTAGTAAGAAGAATAAATCAACTTACCAATTTTTTCTATGATTTCACGTGAAGTTCGTTAAATTCTAGTCGCCAGCGTTGTCTACAGTCCTTTTGCGAGGCATAATATAGTCATAAGACGAGTCTATTTTGTCCATGAAGGTAGGTCCCCATAACAGTATGTATTTATTTCAAGGAGAATCAACATCATTCAGCAGGTCAGTTTGGGTTTGTTGTTAAATGACGCTAGTGATGAACTTGTCTATGTTTAAGGAGCTTCCTATTTTCAGGGTAATAGACCAGATACGAAGACTGTTCTTGCCATACCCGAGGAATATTCCCTTTTCGCATCTTGGATTGAACTTTTTCTTCAGGTGTTTGTAGGCGTAACACACTGAACCAAAAATATTCATGTTTGAAATGTTGGGTTTCCTTCCTGTTATTGCATAATAGGGAGTCTGTCATAAGCGGTTGTTGAAGCATCTGTTGCAGGTTACTGCAGATATCATAACAGCATAGGTCCATAAAGTTTTTGGTAGGCCACTTTCTATAATCGTGCACATGGCCATTTCGAAAAGTGTTCGCCAATTCCTTTCTGCCCTCCCGTTTTGATGGGGTGAATATGGTGCTGAGGTATCATGTTTTTCTCATTATTTTTGCGGAGTAATGTTTGAAAAGCGTTCGATTTAAATTCTGAGCCATTGTCCGATCTCAGTGCTTTTATCTTACCGTAGGGAGAAGAATCTGCAATAAAATTTTCAGTGGCTGACAGTGTTATTATTATTTTTAAGAAAATACAAAAATACAGTGCTGGAGTAATCGTCGGTAAATGATATAGCGTATTTGTGTTCATTTAAGTCCGTTGTTTCTATGGATCCAGCCGGGTCTGTTGTCCTGAGTATAACGATAAATTACATCAGGCATCGGGTAGGTGGAACTAGACAGCTTGGGAAGGCATTTTCACCTAGGGGAAAGAAAACACTTATTTCAAACCCTCCATGGCTTCCGGCCATATCCAGCCATAGAAAAAGCTTTAGGAGTAAACATCGAGGAAAAATCCAGAGACGGATTCCATAAGGCAATTCGTCGTTGTGCCCAACACGTTCTGGCAGCTCCTGCGACGGCACCGGTCCCTGTCGTTTCTTTGACCTCACCGGTGCCGTGGAGATGGGGGACGTGCTACATGGGCAACAGCCTGTCCTCCATATCACATCGCCCAAACCCCAGCACAAGGTCTCCTGGAGACATCCACGCTCAAAACACTAGCACCATCTGGATCTCATTCTGGTCAGACGAGCCGCACACACGTTTTTACCACAACGCGGACTGCGATACAGACCACTCCTTGGTGTGTTGCAAGATCAAGCTCCAGTCCAAGAAGTTCCATTTCAGCAAGAAGCAGGGGAATCCTCGCATTGATGTCAGCAAGATGATACAGCCAGACCTTGTGCAACAGTTTGCCAAGAGGTTTGAGAACGAGCGAGCAACTTCGCGGACCGGAGACTCTGCCACGGAGAAGTGGGCGACTTTGCGGGACACCATGCACCGCACTACCTTGGCCATCTTTGGAAGAAAGACCTTAAAGTCATATAACTGGTTTGAGGCAAAGTCCGCTGAAATGACTCCTGTCATTGCGTCCAGAATACAAGCGGCAAGAGAAACCTGCAGATCCTTCGGGCTGCCAGGAGAAAAGCTCACCAAACTGTCAGACGCTGCGACAACGAGTACTGGACAGAGCTTAGCAAAACCATCCAGACAGCAGCAATTACAGGGAACATCAGAGGGATGTACGATGGCATCAAGACGGCAATAGGACCAGTGCAGAACACAGCTCCCTTCAAATCCACCACCAGGGTATTCATCGTAGACAAGGGGAAAACAGATGAAGAGATGGGTGGAACATTATTCCGACCTCTACTCCAGGCAGAATGTTGTGACGACCGCAGCCCTTGATGCCACTGAATGCGTGCCGGTCATGGAGGACCTGGACATCGAACCAACCAGAGATAAGCTTGGCAACGCCATTGGTAGCTTGGCCTCAGGGAAAGCCTCTGTCAGTGACGGGAGCCCTTCTGACCTGATCGGGCACTACAAGACTGCCCTACTGCTCCCATTACACAAGGTCCTCTACCAGTGCTGGAACGAAGGTGCCGTACCTCAGGACATGATCGATGCCAAGATCGTCGCCCTCTACAAGAACAAAAGTGGGCGAAATGACTGCAACAACTCGCTACTCAGCGTTGTGTGCAAAGTCTTCGCTCGGGTCATCTTGATCCACCTGCAGAAACTTGCCGAACGTGTCTACCCAGAGTCACAATGTGGTTTCCAAGCTGAAATATCAACGGTATACATGGTCTTCTCCTTCCGCCAGCTCCAGGAGTACAGAAGATGATACCCCTGTACGTCGATTTTATCGATCTCACCAAGGCGTTCGATCTCGTCAGCAGAGTGTGCAGTTCAATAGCAGCACCTCTGAGCCCTTCAACATTTGCAGTGGGGTCAAACAGGGCTGCATCCTCGCTCCCACTCTATTTGGGATTTTCATCGCTCTGCTTCTGAAGCATGCATTCGGTACATCAAGAGAAGTGATTTACCTGCGTACGAGATCAGATGGCGGGTTGTTCAATCTCGCCTGCTTCAGAGCCAGGACCAAAGTACGTGAAGCCCTTGTCAGAGACATGCTTTTTGCCGACGATGAGGCGGTAGCGACTCACACATAGTGTGAACTTCAGTCACTGATGAATTGTTTCTCCCAGACCTCCAGAGACTTCAGGCTGACCATCAGCCTGAAAAAGACAAACCTCCTGGGACAAGTTACCGAAACACCACCAGCCATCACCATTGATGACTATGAGCTCGATTCGGTCCATCAGTTCACGTACCTTGGCTCTACATCACTGACAACCTCTCCTTAGACGCAGAGAATCGGGAAGGTAGCCACAGCCCATGCGCGCCTCACAATACGCGTATGGACCAATCCTAAGCTGTCGGTGAAGACCAAGATGGTAGTGTACAATGCATGCGTTATCAGCACATTGCTATATGGCAGCGAGGTTTGGACCACTTACGCCAGGCAAGAAAGGCATCTGAACACCTTTTACATGAGAAGCATCCACCGTATTCTGTGAATGGCGTGGCAAGGCAAGGTGCCTAACTCTGAGGTCCTGTCTTGAGCATGTTTACACTGCTCAGACTGCGCAGAATCCGTTGGTTGGGCCACGTCCATCGCATGCCGGATAGCCAGGACGCTGTGTTGATGTCCACAGCTTTCATGTCATGCCTCATGACATCGCAGTACCGCAGCTGTGGCCGCCCGGTGGGTCACCTTCCAGCGGCCAGCTCTCCATACTGGTCTTTAGCTTCTTCGTTCCTTTCTGTATTTTCTTCGTCTCTTGTGGGGTTTTCGCCTAAGATGGTGTCTTTTAGGTCGAGAGTGTGGCCTAAGAACTTCGATTCCCAAATTTCATATTTTTCTTCGTCTCCGTTGCAAGTCTGTTGCAACGACTTCCATTATCCCTCATGGATCAATAAACTGTTAAAGTTGACATGCTACTGTGGAATAAGTGTTAGGAATTGTCAAAGTCGCACGGAAGAAAATAACATGCGTGTTTACAGAAAAGGAGTAAAATTTTTATTAAGCTTTTGGTATAGTAGAGCTAAGGAGGGGGAAATAATAGTTAGTTATCAGATTTAGCTAAGTTTTCTTAACAGTAACTATTAATTGATATCCTGAAAACCAAGCCTGAAAATATCAAAGTTAACGTTGCAGCCACAACTGCCTTTATAAATGCAATAAACACCTTAGGATTAGACTCAATTATCTCATAAAGTATTACTGACCATGAGCCCTACAGAATTGTAATTACATCTTGTTATCTTGCTTAAGTGTTAGGCGCACAAAAGAAAATTTTGAGCAAATTTTATATCCTGTATTATTATTTTTTTTATGTTTTTTAATAAATGTAATTTTTTTCAAATTTCCCAACAGATTAAGAGTTTTGTGTCTTTTGAACCAGGTGTAGAGATTTAACCCTTGTATCCTGTTTTATGACTGACTTTCTAGTTTGTTATCTCATTTTCTTTCAGCCCTAGTAACCCCTTGCATTTTAGTGACATTATCGACTTGCTTGGAGTGACATTAAAAAACTCACATTCATTAAATATTTCACTTCAGTTCACTAGAATATTTTCTTTTATAAAATTGAGTATATGCAAATGAATTCTTTTCTGCATTCAAAGTGTTTTGCTTTGTCACTGAAACTGAGATACATCAAGAAAACTTTATACTTACAAGATGGAAGTAGGAAATAAAAGTAGAAGTAATTATATTTCTCATTATTAAAAATACAGGTAGTCTAATTTTTGTACCTGAACTCACATCTGCATAGTGAAAGCATCAAAAATCAGAGATTATATAAAAAAGTAGAAAAATTCAAACTTCCACAAGTTATACTGAGATCTCTCTTACTTGTTGAGGAGAAAGTGCAGTGTCAAAACAAAGTCAAATTTCAAATAATTTTATATAATAGCACTTCTCTTCCCATCTCTGCTTATGGTTTATATCCTATTATCACTCTCACAATGTTTATTTATGTAAAACTTTGCTGTTTGTATGAAGGACTACAAAATATAAAAATTAATTACAATAAACTTTTAATTCATATGATTAGTTAATTGAAAGTCAATACTTGTCAAAATTAATAATGTTTGACAATTCTTTATCTAATAAAAAAAATGAATATAAAAGTAGTCAAAAATGAAGATAAAAGTAGTCAAAATGAATAATAATAATTGATAATGCTTCTAATAAAAACAAAATATAAAATAATACTGCTGGTATTTTGTATTTACACAAATTAAAATAGTTGATTCTTTTTTACTAACTTATTTTCTCAACAAGTTTTTAAGGAAACAGTGAAGAAAAATGTTTATGTCTATTAATTCAGCTATATTGTTAAAATATAATTTCATTACACAATTAAGTAAACCTTTTAAAAACACAACTTATATATATCTGTCCTTAATGAAAATGATATGGACAATGTGATTTCAATAATATCGTGTCCTTGACAGACTTACATTAAACATTCCTGATTAACTTTAAAAACAAGTCCTTGTATGATTTGATCTGATTAGGATATCTGATGACAAAATATAAAACAATAACTTTATATATAGGTGAAAACAAATGTGCAATTGGTATTTTTGTAATAAATCACAGTCAAACAGTGTTCCCCATAATCCTATACTGCCAAGAAGTCACAAAGCATCTGTTAAAATTAGCTTTATTGATTAAAATGCTATCATTCAGTCTAGGAGCCATCAGGTCTACAATTCTTACAGGTTTTAACAATAAACACCAGTTACTTACTGGTGACACTATTTTCCTATGACAACTGAAAACACTATTTTCTTATTTTTTTCTTCTATTACTTATAACTCCATCCCTCCTCTGAAACATTAAAAAATAAAATTAAAGCCATTTTCTTGTAAACAATATAATTTCTCTTTTTTATCTTTTCCTCTGGTACTTTCTGTGATCATTTGCCTGTTTGTTGTGTATATTTTCATTTTTTAGTCTGCTATGACACTGACATTTAGAAATTTCGCACTAGATCCAACTTATTTTATCCTCTTCCTTTATTTTGCTTTCATTTATTGGACTTATTCTAAATTAAGGCATACATTTTAAGGATTTGTTTTATTTTTGGCTTTCATTATGTACATTCACATATTGATCTGTTGCTGTTAGAATTTAATATGAAATATAAATATATATTAACAAAAATGATTTAGACAAGAAAGTTGATGATAATGTTCAAAACCCATCATTTTAAGAAAACACTAGCAGTCTATCTTTTAATAGCATTTTTTAGCTTTAACTGAATTACTTACTGGTGACACTATTTTCCTATGACAACAAAAACACTATTTTCTTATGTTTTTCTTTATTACTTACTAGTCTTCTTCTATTACTTTGCCTCACATACCAAAAAAGATTCATATTCAAAGTGAATCATATTTATTACAAATTTCAAAAACTATTTTATTGTACTGCTGAACTTTTTGTTTTATAAAGCAATATGGAAATCTAAACATAATTCTTGACTCAAATTCTGTAAAAGTAATTCTAAATACAAATATTTCCTCATTAAAACTAATACTATTATTTTTGAGAGCAGTAATATGCTTCTCATCAGAGCATGGTTACCTAAATTGGTCAATATGAAAAAATATTTTTATTTCTTAGAATATGCTTATATATTATGAAAAAAAAAGTTTGAAAAATAAAAACTAGATCTACAAGGTAACCAAAAAATATATTTAGTCTTCGAAGTAATCGCCATCGGCATCCAGCACCTTCTGCCAACGTGTCTCCAGCTGTTCAATGCCCTTGCGGTAGAACTCGGGGGAGGGGGGTTGACGCAAAGAAGTCCGCGAGGGCTTTGCGCATGTCTGCTTCATTGGTGAAGGATTTCCCACGAAAGTGATTATCCAGGGAGTGGAAGAGGTTGTAATCGGATGGCGCAAGGTCAGGTGAATAAGGTGGATGGCACAAAGTCTCCCACCCAAGTTGCTGTATGGTATCCCTGACCACTCGCGCGACGTGCGGCCTGGCGTTGTCATGGAGGAAAAGCACACCTTTGCGATTCACCAGTCCTGGCTCCTTCTGGCGCAATGCCTGTTTCAATTGCTGCGAGTATAGGTCTCCAGTGACCGTTTGGCCCGTTGGTAGCAGTTCATAATGAACCACTTGACGACCTGTCCACCAGACACAGATCTTGCGTGGGTGCATAGGCGGTCTTGCGGTGTGAGGGACAGCATCCTGAGGAGACAACCAATGTCTGGAACGCTTGGGAGTTTCGTACAGAACCCACTTTTCATCACTCGTAAGCACTCGATTGAATAAGGTGGCGAGAAAGCAGCGATACGCAGGCTGCCACACGTTGTCCCTTGTGGACCTCCAACAGCGTTTGCGGAACCCACTTGCTCAGTTTGTACGTCTTACCTAGGCGGTGCAAGTGAAATCTAACTGTTTCATCGGAAACGTTGAACTGTCTTGCAAGTTCACCACTACTGTCCTCTTCAATGGCCGCCTTCAGGACTCCGTTATTCGAGACCTGTGATCGTTCACTGCGAGGCTAATCATGAAGAGACAAATCTCCCGACTTGAATTTTCGAAACCAACGCCTTGCAGTACGTTCATCCACAGCACTATCCCCAAACACTTGACATATGTGGCGACTTGATGCAGCTGCTGATAAGCCCACTTTGAAGTCGTAAAGCAAACAACCTTCTCACAGCTGTCCGGCTTATAACTGATGGCCGGGCACCGTGCGCGTGATTTTTTTATAACGTCTGATGTTCCTACTTCCGGCTGTCCGAATTTGA